TTTAAGCATGTATAGGATAGAAAAACAGGTTTTTTTAACATGAAAAGTTGCGCAATGCACCTTTAATGTACCCTTTCTGAAAAAATAATAAAAAACCTTACTGAACAGTAGTGTAGATACATTCACTAATATTGTTATATGCTATAAGTATAAAAAACAAACATGCATTGTAAAAGATTCATTCATCAGATTGTCGCAAGATCTACCAGATGAGCTACAGAGCTACATGGGTAGTAAAATACCAAACAGATTTTTTTATCCTAAACATAAAGATGTTCTTCAGACAAACAGAATAGTATTACTCAGCACTAAGGCCTTGTTGTACGTGACACCATAGCCCAAACATAACACGAGACCAACGGAAGCCTCAAAATTTGTTTATACGCCCTTTGAATTTAATTATCATCAGCATGCTATGTTGAGCACTCGAGAGAATGCATATGAGATTAATTTCTGACTCCGACCTACATTTGTGAGTGTGTGTGTGTGGTAAATTGGTTATTTTTGTAGACAAACTTACGAGAAGGGAATAATGTCTCTCATCTGGTCTGTATTATTACTGTTTAACAGTTTTTTCCAGCTGTTAGTGTGTTTTTGCTTCATCATAATTGCACATCCTCTACACTCATCTATTTTTTTTTTTGTCTACCCAAACTCTTTTTGTTTTTATTATTTAATCTTTTCTCGGATGTTGTCTCTCCTCAGGGCTTTACGTACATAGCTCCATCTGTGCTCGAAAACATCAAGGAAAAGTTCTCTTTTGAGCCAAAATCCCGTTCGCCTCGCAAGCTTCTGGGAAGCCCTAGAACACCAGTGAGGTAATGTGTTTTTCTCATTCCACTGAGGTTTGAACAGTGTATTGTTTTCATGATCCTGTAGGGCTGTGTAAAAATTAATTTGACGGATTTTTAATTGATCTTTCACATGCTAGTTTTTCACATTCCGCCGAATCATATTTGAACCAATTTTGCGTCTCAAATGATTTTGAAAAGATAAAAATGGCATGTTTTGCAAACCAATGACAACAAACAAATTGAATTAGTGAATCTAAAACAAACCGCATGACCGCTGTGGTCTAATTCACAAACGGATTACTCTTATGACCTGGTCCTTTTAATGAATCAAAAACGTTTCGATTCACAAACAACATTACTCTTCTGAATATGTTCTTTTTAGTTTATCTAAAACTTACAGTGCAACTTGTGTCCAATCCATATTTTAAAGGAATCGTTCAAAATAAACTCGCAGATTAAATGACCATTTGAATCAGTATGACAGATCCTTTATTGAATTAACTGACTGAGTCCATCAGAGTGGGTACTTAAGTTGAAGAATATTTAGAAAATGAAGATTATATACCTAAACAAAACATGTATTGATTCCCAGCCCTGTGGTCTTGTAGGAAAGGGCATTGAGTTTTAAGTGTAATTTGTTGACCAAAAATGAGAACCAAATCTAAGGTCGTGCATGCTGGAACATGCTTATCTGGTCGTGTGTATACTGGTTATGTGTTTGAAACTTTGCACGAATAGAGATCAGTAACCCATGATCCCATACTTGCTTTTTCCAGCCCTGTGAAGGTTGATGGGGAAGACCGTTGGTCTCGAGGTCCACCCTTCCCAGAAGTGAGCAGAAACGCGTCGTCTCTCCTGCCGCGCTCTGATCCGCCCATGGAGGTGTTTAATGTGGAGCAGATGGACAATAACAGCAGCATGGAGGTGTCGGCCCCTCTTCCCATCAAAAAACCACTGGGATCCAATGCAGGGTCCGTCGTGAAACAGGCTCACCCAGTGGGCGGCAGGAGACCCAAGCATTTGAGAATGAAACTTTGATGAACGTCATGAGTTTTTGCACTTTAGGAACTTATTAAATTACCCAAAGGCCTTTCTGCACCCAGTTTTCTTCACTTAAATACTTGCCGCCTCAGCATACTTCACACAAGCATGCAGAGCTTGTTCAGAACAAAGCCTGTGACCTCTCTCTTCTTGCACCGTAGTGAGTTGGTCTGCTGCTTGTTATGAAAGAGGAGACCACCTTGCACTTTAGGCAACTCTGAGCATGAATTTCACAGTTTTTCTTTAATATGCCATGCTCATGCAAAAAAGTAAGGAAGAATGCATATCTTCTGTTCTATATTTGAAGTTTGGTCTGAGAGACTGAGGTCGAGCTTCTCGTGATAAGTAATAGTGTTTAAAGAGATAGTCTATCCAAACCTATTTGACTGAATTTCTTTCTTCTGTTGAACACAAAAGAAGAAACTTCTCAGTGTTTTGTTGTTTCAGACCCCATTGACTTCCATTATATGAACAGTTGAATCATTTTTCAAAATGAAGAACAGAGAGTCATACAGGTTTGGAACAATGTGAGAGTGAGTAAATAATAAGAGAATTTTCATTTTTGGGTGAACTATCCCTTTAAAGTAAGAGAGATCCAGGTCTACATTCCAGTGGAATCTGTTTATTTTGCGGTGTATTTGATCCTTAATGCATCACTGGTTATTAGGACTACTAGAATCACAGATGTAGAACACTTCTGGAGAGACAGTTGTGTTTACCAACCAATGATAAACTATAAAGTTAAATATAAGCTGTTTTTTTGGATGACTTCAAGACATTCTTCCCTTGTTTTGGTCTGTTCTTGATTTACATTTAAAATTCATACAATTGAGTATGAGTCTACCTGCGTTCTGGGCATCAAATCACTGTTTTTCTTTTGCACAATATGCATTACTTTGACCAAAGAGTAGTAAAAAATACCAGATAAGGCTAGATAAATCCTCTTAATCTAGAGTACAAGTAGTTCTTTCTAAGCCACATCTATTGCCACTAATACTAATGATGTCATCCTTTTGTGAAAACAATTGGTGGAACATCCTTTTTCAGTTTTACTTTTCACTTTAGTATTGAAGACGGCAAGACAACAATTATGAAATAGTTTCCTAAACAAATTTTTTTTCATGTTTCTTTCTAAATGTGTGTGTGTGTTTTCATTTGTTGTAACCAATTTATTTTCCAAGTGCCATATAGTTTTTTTTTTTTTAAACTATGCAAATTATTTATTCTTAATAATCAAGAGTGCCGTTCGAGATTTAGCCGGATTAGTTGCATAAAGACTAAGATGATTTTTTTATTTAGTACTTCTTTCTTTGGTGATCTTGGAGTCAAAATGATTGTATTATTATTAAGGATAAAAGATCTTGGGATTTTAAATTAATTTTCAAGATGTGCAGTGGATATAAATACACCAGATAAAGGGAAACCCACTGGATTATTTATTGTTCTGTTGACTTTTGATGAAATAAGCTTAGATATACAGTATGTGGTTGAGGTGAAAGACAAATCTATATTCTAGTAAACCCAGAATGATGTAAGCATAATAAAATAGTTTATCCTTCAACAAAAAAAAAATCAGTATTCATTTTATTGCTGTATATAGACATCGTTCTTCATGACTGTTGGTGCTCTTTCATTGTATTATAGTTTTTATAGATACAATAAGTGTCTGGTCGATACAGAGTCTGCTTGTTAAGATTGTGCTGTATATAAGAAGGGGTCGTTTATAGTGATTTCATGTATCTTGTTTCACAGGCATTCCGGTGCTCATAGTACTGTTATTGTTATCAATGAACGTCTGCGTCGAGGCTGTGTAACCGCATTCAAACCATTTCTGAATGACACTTTTTTTTTTCTTATGGGAATGTAAAATAGGCTTGTTTTCTGCTTGAAAACATTGTTTTGTTGTGACATTGTGACTCACTGATTGAATGTGATGTTAACCTCACATCCTCAAACTAATTTCCGTCGTGTAGATTGTAATTGTGGTTGGACATTAGGAGGCCATTGCTCTGATTGAACTGTCTGGACTTTGCAGCAGATTCCATCAAGCCAATAACTGTCTGTACTCACTATGCACAGGAAGCATGATTGTGAATATCTTAAGCTTAACACAGTGCCTACTGATAAACAACAGCCTGCCGCGCCGTGGCAGTTAACAGCTCGTAATGGCGAAAATGTGAAAGCCTTTGATTTTGAAATCTGTGCAAGACCAGCAGCTTAATTAAATTGCCTCTTAACTGGTACTTTGACTGTGGAAGCTTCGCATTATGCCTTTGCATACACAAATATAGACCGTTTATTCAAACTATGCAATGCTAGCTGAGAGAGGGTCCTGTAATGTGGCGTAAATGGCTTTGTGTATCACTTTCGACAGTCTGAGTTGGATATTGACCATAAGCCCAGTCCCTATAATCACAAGACTCATGGCCTGGGTTTAAAACCTTCCAAACTGTCTCCCACTGATTCTTACAATCATGTTGGAATATTAAGACACAACTTGGTGCTAAGTGTTCATTACTATGTTCCTTATAAAAAATGTAATGTGTGCAATTGAGCTTCAGAAAGAGTTAAACTGAACCTGATCTCGAAAATGTGTGTACTTCATTAGGAACCAGGGTTGTGTAACCAATTTTGAAACTTCCTGGATTATAAAGTCAAGTAGAAATATGCCTGTAAAAAGAATTGAGATGCAGATAAGATTTAGCATTTTAAATGCAAATGCTTGAAGTGCGGTTTATTAGAGCGGCACATTTTTGGATGGATTTAAAATACTGAATGACATGAGATTGTTTATAATGAATAATCTGGTGTTTTGTGACTGTTCATATTTATTTTAAAACTCATTTTAATCCCTGGAGAATTCTACATCATCAATAAAATTGAACGAGTATTTAACAAGCAAGCCTGGAATTTTATATTGCATTTACTCCGCAATTATTTCAATGACGCTGCTTAACAGTTTGAAAAGATTTATTTGGTCAATTATTGACATATACTGGAAAAAATACAACTGCATACTGTATAATGGTACTAAAATAGATGTTTTTTTCTTCAACTCTTTGGTTTATTACACTAAGTGCAGCATTAGAAAAATACCATGTATCTGTGAAGGGCTTGAATTACAAATACATTTATGCATGTACAGTAATAATGGCTCTGTTACTTTTCAATCAGCAAAATATGTTGTTCATTCACTAAAATCACATGGTAACAAAATCCTAATGCTACATCGTTTTATAAATCAGCAGTTCATGTGCGATTACCTCGCATTCAGATTATTACAGAACTAACCACAATACTTCAAACCGAACACAAGTTTCAGAATTTTTTTAAACTCCTTATAATTAGATTAATAAATGTGTTTAAGACAAGTTCAGTTACAAAAGCCACAGTCTCTGACAGGATCATACAGGAGGGAAAAAACCCAGTATCTATGAAAAATTAAACCAAAATTGTTTTAAAAATACATTAATGACCATGAATTTCTAATACATTATTTCTGAGTGTTTTCTCCACAAATACAATCAAAAAACTCATTTGTCCACTATATCCTCCTGCTTACACCCACAAGGAAATTAAAACCAGAGATGGCATGCAAGAACACAAAGAGGAATATATATTATAAACATTAAAAAATAAGGGAGTTCCACATACAATAATAATAATACAAGAGCTGGTGAATGTACTTGTCCTTCTGACAAGATTTATATATATATATATATAAACAAACCTCAAACCAGCGATTTTTCTAGTGACTATTGCCTTATAACAAGTGCTGTTTGCTCGACTGAGATGTTTGAGAGGAACAATCCACATATTCTGTGAATCCACTGCTGGTCGACTGTTTCAACGTGTCTCAACACTGTCTTCATCCTTTCAGTGAGCATCGTGTTCAGTAGATTTGTAAATAAGCTGATGTTGCACCATCTTTCCACTTATTCACCTTGTCAGTGATAACAGTGCGGCAGAGGGGGCAGGTCCGCTCCTGGTTAAGCCACTGGGCTATACACTCCTCACAGAAGATATGCTGGACACAATCAAATGGGAAACAGTTTACATTTAAGTTCTTGGCAGGATGCTTACAAGAAAGTACATGCATTATGTGATACAGGCTGCATCCGAAATTGCATACTTCCCTACTATATAGTACTCTAAAAACAGTATGTGGCAAAGGAAGTGTCTGAATTCACAAAATTGTGAAGTGCAAAAGACGGACACTTTATTATCCCATGAGACCACGGGAGAGGATTTGTGCACATGATAATGACAAAATGGCGAATGTAGTACGTCCGGATTATGTTCATATTATATAAAAAAATCCTTTGTGAGAGCTAAAAAAACCATTCATCAAAATAAATGCCTATTCAAGAGAGTATGCGATTTCGTACCACTGTGTATTACTTCAACAAGACCGTAAGGATAATAGAACAAGAACAAGCTGTTCAAGTTAATGCAGGGGCATAGAAATGATCTCAAATTACCATCAACATGTTTACTTAAAGAGAAAAAAAGTTCAAGAAAAAAAGCATCTTCGCATATATTTTATATATCTGGATTTCCCAAACTGGGGTTTGTTAGCTAGTTAGTTAGATAAAATGTCAAATTAAAACACAATTTTAAAATAAAACCTGTGAAAACAAAAAAGATATATTTGATTTGAATATTTTATAGGTTTACTTGCATGTCATGTGCCCATTAACAAACATCAGAGATTTGTGAACATGCAAACGTGTTGTTAAATTATTGAAATATTAACTTAAACCTCACATTTTAGGTTGAAGGGGTTTGGCTGACAAAAATAAGACCAATTCCTTTTATATATATTATAAAGATTTTTTTTTTTTTACAAAATCCTTAAAATATATGATAATTATGTTGCTATAGAGCTGATAGAAAAAATAATAAAAACTCTGTGTTTAAGAACACAAACTGTAATAATGAGTTAACAACTTGACAAGAATTATACAAGCTAATTTGTCTTTTACATGACAAAGACCAATTAGCTTATGTAATACTTGTCAAGAATGAGGCTGAGGCTGAGCCTAGCTTTGTAGGAAACACTATGCTTAAGAAGCATAACAGTTTAGCCTGTGAATGAGGTTAAGGGGCTTGACATCAGAAGTCAAACTCAAGGATATCACTTCTCACCTGACACACGAGGACCCGAGGCTGCTTAAAATCAGCCTGACAGATCGGACAAATGTCACCTGCCTCTCTAACCTGAGCTGGACTGGCTGGAGCTCCGTTAAACTTTAAAGACAGGTAACAAGGACATGATACAGCACATATATATTACAGATTACACAACAAATATAAGAATAAGGAGAGGAGCATAACACAGGTAAAAGCTAACTTTTGTACCTCAGAACTGAAAAAAGTCCGTAGTGTTTTTTGCAATGATCCTGACAGTCCATACAGTGCCAAAAGCTAAAAAAAAAGAAAAAGAAAGGTAATAAGAACAGACTGATGAATGTCTTCTAATACCATATTCATTTCTTATTGTTATGATTGTGCAAACCTTCATTATGAGGTAGAGCAAGGCTAGCAGGATTCCCAGAGTCAGACCCACTGAGGTTTCCATCTCATCATAGCTGACCAGATAGCGGAACCAGAGTGGGACAGGAGCAATCACCTGGTACAACTGACCCGTCTCCTCTATGAGCATGTACCACTGACCCTATGGAAAGCAGGATGGATACGATGAAGCTAACGTTCATTTTGATTCAGTGCAGAGAATTAAATAATAATGTTACAAATCATGCTCACTCTTTGCCGGTATGTCATGAGTGGAGATGGGACGAGGAGAATAAGACACTTAAGCCCCATGAAGAAAAACTTGACGATGAAGTTAGTCACACCAACGCTCCATAAAACCTCCCAGAAGTTTTGAGAATCTATCGTAGCGTTGGCAAAAATGAGGCTGAGGAACACAAAAAGAGAGAGCCAATGATCTACATGGTACGTATTTGTCATTTAGTGGACATTTGGTCTTTTAGTTGATATATTGCACTAAACATAGTACATTACAGTTTGTGTTCAAGTGAGGTTTGGTGAGAGTGTAAAGCACTAACCAGCGATAAAGTGACTGAGTGTGAAAGGTGTAGAACACGAGGAGACTGGAGGATGTGAGGAACACCAAGAGCCAGGCACAATGCAACTTCCTTCTTCGGTCCTTCACACAGGAGACACAAAACAAAAGAGTCTTCAGATTATATACACACTACCGGTCATGGGCTTTTTTTTTTTTTTTTAAATAAGAGAAGTCTCTTATGCTCACTAACCCTGTATTTATTTGATCTAAAGTGTGTTAAACAATATTGTGAAATATTATTACAATTTAAAAAAATGTTTTCTATTTGAATATATTTTAAAATGTCATTTATTCCTGGGATGGCAAAGCTGAATTTTTAGAGTCATCACAATCTTCAGAATCGCATTGTTCCTTCAGAAATCATTGCTGATCATATGCTGATTAGGTTCTTGGCATTTCTTATTATCAGTGTTTAAAACAGTTGTGCTCCAATTTTGTGGAAACCTTGATACTTTTTTTCAGGATTCTCGATGAATAGAAAGTTTAAAAGAACATTTATTTGAAATCGAAATTTAACATTATATCTCTATTTACTGTCACTTTTGATCAATTTAATGCATCCTTGCTGAATCAAATTAAATTCTTTAAAAAAAATCTAACTTTTGAATGGTAGTTATTAAACGTGCATGTTTATTGCCATTGTGCATCATATTTCTATATTCACCCTGACCACATTATTGTGAATTATTTTAAAAAAAAATTAAGAAACAAGTGATTATTAGTATTATCAGATGGGTGGCTTTGTGCAACAAACTTGAATGACAAGAGTGGTTTTACACATTGCTCTTAGTCTGAATAGACCTTCATGCTTCAAGCAAACAATTATCATAGTTCAGTCAGATCACCACAAAAGATTAACCTATAACCATACTAGAGGAGTAACAGGCCCTGCTTTTTAACCCCATGCCAAGCCAACCTTGATGTAACATATGAAATAATATGGTGGACTTACGTAGAAAAAAACTTGCGTTTGAATGCTTTTGTTGACATACATAAAAGTGGTAAACAGACCCACTGCAACAGCCAGACCTACAGAAGAAGACATCAACAACACAGACGTGTGACAGAGGTCATGAACTTTACACATCATAACCACTGCATCACCAGCTGTTCTCACCTAGGGCGTGCTGAATGACTAGTTTCGCAGAGAGAATAACTATGAAAGGAAGACTTTTCTTTAACCAGCGGAGAAGGTAGCGCAGCTCTGACAACGAGCTGCTCGATTCTCCGGATTCCAGGTCGGACTCGCCGCTGTCCGACTCGTGCTCGTGGCTGTGAGTGTGTCCGTGAGAATGGGAGTGGCCGTGACTCGCAGTTCTCACCCTCCGTGAAGTAGCACCTCGTCCATTCGCAGACCCCGATGAGCTACCGATAGGAACACGGACGTCGTCGCCTGTTTCCGGCCCGCTGGAACTCCCAGCCCCCGGCATTCGGGCGAGCAGCTCCGGCTGCAGGGTTAATGACAGCCCGTTCCTTTCCTGAGGGCTCGAATCAGGTTGCATCGGATCAGGTGAATCCCTCAATTTAAACGCTCTTCTGGTCTCGCTATTTGTTCCTCTGTTGAAAAATAAACCAAAACAATAGATCAGAAGTCGCCAGAAACAAAACATTAAAAACTCTATCCAAAAAAATAAGTTGTTTTTATATCATGTAATAAGAAATACATTTTTTCAAGCTTCATATCGCCCGGAGAATTCAGGGAAAATGCAACCAATCACTTTTAGCTACGTTATGTTACTCTTAGCAAAAGCCTCAACGTGATACCATCACTACCACTCCACTGTAAAATTGTAGCCACCCCAACTTTTTGGCCCACCCAAAATGGATATTCTTACTCCGCTTATAGTTCTGTACAGGACAGCAGTTTTGCTCTTGTCGTGTTATACTTACGTACACAACTACACATCTGTTTACATTATTATCCAAGTGCATCATATAATATGAACTGACCTAAACAGCGGGGTTAGACAGAAACTATTCCATGACTGCATAAAATCAAAGACAATGTATTATCTCTAAGGTTTATTAGGTTCGTGGTGTTTTTCTTTCTGTTTTTTAGAGGTTTTAGATAAATACCTGTCATACTGCGCGCGGAGTTTCATGACAAAGCGCCGATCTCCATTCTACAGCTTATGGTGGTGTTTAAATGATAAAAAAAAAAACAAAATAACTCCAAGAGATTGCAATCAAAACAGTTCATCGGCTAAAGGAGTTTAGTTTCAGCTTGACATTGTTCCGGGAGCCATCTGGCCTGACCTACTAAACTGGAACCCGTGGCTCTGCTGGAAAGCAAAAGAAAAGTCCTCAATAAGGCTGCCCCGTGCTTTCAAAATAAAAGTCCCATTTAGGAGGTAAACTCAGTTGACCAAAAAATTAAATATTCTGTCTTCATTTGCTCACCCTCATCTTGTTTCAAATCCATTTAATTCTTTGAAACACAAAAGAAGATGTTAAGTACAGTGTTAAGAATGTCTCAATCACCCTTTAGCCTACTTAATCCTACACCTTTTTTTCCCATATAATGTGAGCGAATGGACTTGGAGAGTGAGAGGCTGTCGTTCTGCCTAATGTTTTAATGTTGGTACAGACAGTGCTGAACTCTCACCTGCATTCAGGTTTGTTGATGATGTTCTGGATGGTTGATAATGTTCACTGCCTTCATGCCAGTGATTGTTGTTTCTTTTTTTACTCAGCCACAGATACATCAGCTGGAGTTCATTTAATGAACTGGAAGAGTCCCACTTTCAAATCAAATATATATATAGGCCTATATATATATATATATATATATATATATATATATATATATATATATATATATATATATATATATATATTACACTTTCCTCCCTACCCTATAGAGAACCAAACTCTGACGGTTAGCCTATATCTACAGGGCTGTCTCTGACCATTTTGGCACCTGCGGTCGATATTGGTTGTCATAGGAATGACACTAATGTGCAGTGGTTGTTCAGTGTATTTATTTAGCAATCCAGGTTTTACAGATTTCAAGTACACACTATCCAAATCTAAACTCATTGATTGTAAATTTTCCAGTTTACTTTCTATAAAGACTTCTAGTAGACCATTTCTCTCTCCCGCCACTCACTGCCCAATCACTAATAAAAAAGCTTGCACTGTATTCACTCCATATCATAATTATTTTAGTGTGCTTTTAAATAATGCCAACCTCTAAACACACAATGTATTGAACGAAAATGATAAATAATATTACAAACAATAATATATATATATATTTTTACTTTCAATAATGCAACACCAGACTATTATTTTTTCCAATAAAATATGCTTTATTAAAACACTTTAATTAGCCCATGTCCAAGCATATATTAAATGTTTGTTTAATAATATTAATTAACATTGTAAGTGAATTCCTAAATAATAAGAGAGAAGTTTTAGCACTTGACAGTTAATATGGATAGAGGACATGCAGGCCTACGTGTTGTGGCGCAGTCTGTCATGAAGTCTATTTGTCTATTTGTAAATTTGTATGTGAAATACTTGTATATTCTTATGTTTTTTATGTGGATGAGCGAATATTTTTTTATCTGTAATACAATTTTACCTGCGGGTATGAAATAAAACTACATACCTACCTAAATTAAATTAACATAACAAAAACATCACAAATTATGTGTATTCGTTACACAAATGAATTTAATAAACCTTGGCCTAATTCTGTAAAGAAAACAAAGGCTTTAATGACATTCTCAGTATGTTTTCAACTTTTTGTTCAGTTCAATTTATGGGATATAATAGGGATAAGATGGCAATTTATGCATTGAAAAATAAAAATAAATATTTTATATGAGATCGATGTTAGTATTACTGACATTTAGGTTTTATTTTCTACATGTGAATGGCACATTTTCGTGTTTTCTGGAAAAAAGTGTATTATTATTATATTAATATGCTATTATTCTGCTGTAGCATCATTCATTTAAAAGAATATATAATTTCAATATACACAAAATACTTGGATTTCTGAATGCCATCTTTCTAAAAACATTAACTTCAATATTGTTCACATCTTCTGGCTTTACTTTTAAAACTGAGTATTTTAATGGGTCGGCCATTCACTTCTATTTTAAGTGTCTCCCAAATTGAAGAAAATGAAGGGAAAAAAATTTGTTTTAGGGAAATTAATTTAGGTGGTAGCTAATCAACATTATGCCACAAATGCTGTGGACTGAGCTTGACTTGTATTGAAACAGGAATATTCCTTCAAATGCTTGACCTGACCTCAAGACATTACTTCTGTGTTACAGGATAATTGGATGTCAATGTTGCTTGCATGCTTTCTGTTAAACTATACAGTGGGGTTCAATAGTCTTAGACCATATTGAATATGTAGGATTGGAATTCTAAATTATTATTCTTTTTAGAAAGAACCCCCCACCACCGCAGTCTTGTTCAAATTCAGTTTAATTCTTCTGTTCACGCCGATAATATGTGTAAATTAAACTGTGAAATAAAAAAAAATTATAATCAGTAAGCATTTTCAGTAGTGGTTTCAGACTTTTGGATCCCTCTGTACATTACTATGGGATGTATAGGCCTACTGTATGTTGTGTTTTTGGTCCTGTTTACACCAAGCACGATTACTATTCTAAAAATTGTTAAATATAAAAGAATTGCAGAGTCCACAATAACTAGGCCTATAACAATAACGGCACAGATAAATAATATCGTTGGAATCACTTTCAGAATGATTTTTTTTCCAGCTGATGAAGGATAAAAACATAGCAGCCAATCAGAATCCATCCTGCTTTAAAGAACTGGAGCATTTAAAGCGGCAGACGACAAAACACTTATTATAAACAGTATGATAGTTCGGTGGTGTGGGCGCTAATATGGTTATCATTTAAAGTTATCTTTATATTGTTATTGCTCAAGTGTGAATGGGCTTTTATGGACTTTAAGGGGCCATTGATACCATTTTCAACTAAAAACGGAAAGAATTGCGTTTTGGCCGTTCATTTAACGTTACTCAACAAAAGTGTTTTGGGGGCCTTAAAACGGGTTTCAAAGTGCAAGTTTTTGAAAACGATCCCGTTATCGTCTCCATCTAAACTACAAAAACGCGAATTTGAGAATATGGTGACATCACTCACACATTAGCCTATGCATATTGCGTTCAATCTATAAGCGCGTAGTGTTTCTTTAAGTGACATCGCCGACGTAGAGCGTAGTCGTTTGCGCAGATCCGTGTGAACGGGGATCGTTTTGACAACGTTGTCATCTGTGCGGCCAACTTTTCAAAAATCTGTTTTTAGTACATATTTGTCATTTAAATGTCAAGGTGAAGTTTGCTTTCCCCATGTTCCCACTCTTCATTTGTTTTGGTAGCAACCCATTGTGTTCACCTGTGTCTTCAATAAGTTTTATGAGGTAAAGCTGCTGCTACAGATCCTCTATTTGCCTCATTGAGGAACCAACCCGTGACAATTACCTTGTAAAACCTTTTAATTCATGTGGAAGTCTTCATATCTGATTTGACAAAAAAGGCAGCATGTCACGCAAAAGCTTTTGAATTTTCAATCGTTATTTTGATGCAACCATATCCCATTAGCAATGACATTGAGACATTCACATCTACACACAGTGATCAGTTGTCTAACCACCACCCACCCCCAGAAAGAACTTTCACAGACACTGTGTCCAGACAAGAATATAATCATAAATGAAAAACTGGAAAATCTCATAACAGTTGCCTACTAATCTAAATTTATTGGTCATTCTGTGTATCCGAGCATGTTAAATGATGCTTTAGATATGCAGCTTAATTCGAGGAGGAATGGATGTAAGTATCTTGTTGTACATTTAGAAAATGATAATGTGACTGAGCTGGGAGTGTGTCTTGTTTAGCAGGAGGTGCTTATTGATTGTAAACTGTCCTCTGGCATTTTCCGGCACTAAAGATACCAAATGGTCTTTTACAGTTTTTCTCAATTGCTTTGGCACATTTTTCGAAACAGTCTTAACATTCTCAAAACTGCAAAACGTATAACTCACCAAAAACATTTAACTCATGCTTCAAAACCTAGTTATTGTGTCAGTAAATTGGCCTATTGCATCCAAAATAAAAAGTGTTTTTGTCATCTGTGAGCCACACTGGTCAAAATGTTTTTTCACCATTTTTAAAAACTGTTTTTGTTGACTCTAACTGCTTTCTATACTGTACAAGAAGGTCAGTTTTAAATACAAATTCAGAGAGTAGGTCAAATTTGACTGGGAAAAGTCAACACTGTAGTACACAAAAAAAAAATAAACAAACGTTTGTATTTATTTATACAGTACATTTATTTTTGGATCAATGCGTTAAATGTAAACTGAAAATTCTCAGTTGCTTGTTAATTTTTACACATTCTATTATGTATTTCTCTAACAAATACAGTAGGCTACATATCTTCCTGTTGCTTTTCCATGAGGACCATGACAAGAATGTTCCCTTTCGAGAGGTTCCTCTTATTGCGTAAGTAGCTTACGCTATGGGAAAACTCCTTTTCTCGAGAAATATTGAAGTCTTTATGTAAAACGCATTGCAGCTGCACAGCATACAGCAATGAGCGAGGCAGCTCGGTCATTGGCTGTGCTGCGGCAACTGCACGAACCTATGACGGGGCGACTCTGAACCCGCTTCCAATGAGCGTGCTTCGCGCCCACGCGCGTCAGAGCCCGCCAAGATGGGCGTGGCCAAGGGCTATATATTGGGCGCCCCGTCGTCTGAGTTCTTTAAATTTAATCTCCTTCAGCAAAGAACCTTCTCTTCGCTGGATCCTCCGGATTTGTTGGAGTCTTTTCGCCGCCGCCGTCGACAAGCCTACAGCAGGACTGCTTCGAGGACGCCGGCGCCTTCAGCCGCCTTCGATCGCCCTTCTGCTAAGCCATCCGGCGCGCATCATCTAATATCCTTTCAAAAGCTTTCAGTATTCGCTCCCGCGACACTTTCTAAAAGAGCAAATTTAACAAGGCGTTGTTTCAAATGCCTTCCTGCGCCTCGTGTCGAGGCCCTCTTCAGGACGGGGATCGTCACATCATTTGCGCCCGCTGCCTGGGACCGGACCACGCAGAGGCTGCCCTTACTCGAGGCGGATGTCCCGAGTGTGACGCCCTGGGCCTCACCGAGCTGCGCGCTCGCTTCGCCGTTTTCACCGCGAAAGAGCCCACCTCTTCCGTGCTGCCATCTCCTCTGGTCGAGCCGCGCAAGAAAAAGCGCCGCTCACAGAGGCCGCCGGAGCACGCGGTTTGCAGTGATGTCACGCCGGGCC